GGGGGGGGGAGGTGCCACTGTATTTAAATAAAATCCCAGAGGCTTAACTTTAAGTTCAAAGGAATTGGGGGAGAGGAACAGAAGTCAGACTCCTATGCAACTTCTATCTAGCATTTCTTTGCAGGCAGGCTCTTGCTTCTGGCCATCACAGTGATGCCAAGTTTTAACAAACTGTACATAGGCCCCGTGGCTCTTTACACGCTCTTGGGGCCTGGTGGCCCCTTCCCACCTTCTCCTTGCTATCTCAGTCTGTGCATGGGCTAGAAGTGCCCAGCCTTGTGCTGCGACTTTCCTCTTTTCAACATGCTGCTGCCTCTTGAATCAGGTCTCCTTGCACAGCTTCCCCAGAAACAAGGACCTTCCTGTCCTTCTAGCCTGTGCCTGACCCAGCCAATTCCTTCCAGGAACATAACTACACAGGAACATGCAAATAAAACAAATACCACCCCTCAGTCTTTTTTTCACACTGAACTCAACCAAAATGAACTGACAAAGTTGCTTCAATAGATCAACAGGGATTTCAATGAAGAACCTCGGGCTGGCTGAAGGACTAGCAGGAGGACTGGAATACTCGGTGTGAGCAATGCTCAGTACAGCAACGGCACTGCTGGTTTGTGATTGCCTCAAACCCCCAATACGCAGTGCTTCTGCTGTTAAAACACTAGCACCCTGCACACACCAGCAACAGCACTGGACAAACTGCTCTGAAAGTACTACCTCAAATTCAGTCAGGAAACCCAAATCGCCTTATTTTAGTGTAAGAGGTTACTTATATGTTTGGTATTAGAAAGCAATGTCTAAATTTAATGATCTAGGCAGATTATGGTTAGTAAACCTGGGGAAAAAGTAGCAAGCACAAGCATGAACTCACACATGTTAAACAAACTTAACTGTAACTACCTAAATTAAAGGAGACTGTGATCTAAGACATGGAGATGCAGAAAGACCCACAGAAGCAAAACCCCCAGTGCATGCAAGAATACAACTATGAAAAAAAATCTGCCAAATTTATCTGGAAGCAAGTAAGCTGTGAAGCTTGTTCTCTTATAACTATTTTGCATTGCCAAAATTCCTTTTTTTTTTTTCATACTGGTGTAAAGAGCAACAGATCTACATTTATTGTGACAAGGCTGCTTGAATGCATAATGTTCCACAGTTTAAACAATTGTTTAGTATTCTGGAATCATCATGCAGTTTGGCAGGATTTGCTTATTAAACAGACCAATTTCTCTCTTTAAAAAATTACATGTTTTCAAATAGTTCTTCCATCAGTAATAACGATGATAATGCTATATATGGCTGCAGGTCTACTGAAAAGGGAGGAACCTAAATTCTGAATTAAAACTTTCACGTTACCCTGCCCTGGTAAAGTATTTATGCAAAGTCAATCAGCTTCCCAAGTGCTGAGCAAAAGAGGATGAAAATTATACCCCTCCCTTTCCACTTGCATGAGAAGGCTGTAGAGGGGCATCTTACAGCCCCAAAGCATCAATCAATCAGCCACTTAGAAAGCAGCGCCATTTAATCCCACGATTTCTCTATCTTAGCACCTTGAAGTGCTTGAAGAAGCAGTTTCTAGAAGCTGTGGGCAACCAATATATCAAGAAAAATTAGGCCCCGCCACAGACAAACAGTTAATAACAGATGTAATACAGTTTTATAACCCTGAGGCAAGACAGCATTTTTGTAGAAATTTGCTCACTGCATACCTAAATAACATTTATGAACATTGCATGATCTACAGCGCAGGGGAGAAAAGGGATCCTTACTTAGGCTTTTTGACTATTTTACCAGCAGGTCAGTAATAAAAATCACCTGACACTGGAAAGACTCCACCACAACACCCCACCGGGATCAACATGTCTGCCAGCTCATATTGGTGCCCTACCACAGGCTGGAACCTATGTCCCACCTTTTCCCCTGGCCCTGGTCCCTCTCAGCTGCAGGTTTATAATGCAGGACTGCAGGGACGACCGGTAGCGCTGAGCACTCACGTCCTTCCACAGAAGTCAGACAGCACGTCTGAAAGCCAGGTCACTTGTGCAAAATGGTGTAAACCAAGGTGCTTGCCCTCACCCTTGAGGAAGCTGGCATGCCTCACTGTGGCTGAGCTGCTCTGGACACCATCCCCAGGGCTGTATGCCAGGGCGCACCATCCTTAAATGTGCCCAAGTAATTCATGGATACAGAAGGAAAAACAAATTCTGTGGCAGCTGATTGGCAACCAGCAGCCCCCTCAAACATGAAAAAAATGGAGCTAAAGTGGTCCATTTGGCCTAGAACCACCACAGCCCAGAGGGCTTGCACCCCAAAAATACTGCTGCTGCCAGCCTTACTCAGCCCTCTCATGCATAGGTGTGAGTCTGGGGAACACTGCATGGAAAAATAAAAAATGTGCAGCCAAATCAGAATAACTTCTTTTTCAAAAAAAAAACCAAAAAAACACCTCTGTGCAGAGCCACACAAGGATTACAGACTGCAATCTAGCAGGAGGAGCCTGCAGGGGCCAGGGAAGGAAGGCACCGGAGGTTTCACCTCACTGCCATCGGCCCCTCTGAGGAGAAAGGTGGCAACTCTGAGAAGACAGCAGCTTCTGAGAAAGGGACAGGGATGGCCACAGGCCATATGTGCGAAGCAGCACAGGAAGCCTGGGGACGTGAGAAAGAGGCACAATGCCTGGCTGCAGGGAAGGGACCCCAACCCCAACAGCAGGGCTGCCTTGTCTTCCAAGGGACCTGCCAAGCAGCATGAGTGAAAAAAGGGCTTTTTGCCACAAATACTGTACAGAGGGATGATGTGACTGGGGTCTCCAGCAGGTAGCTGGGCTTTGCTTTCCTCCATCAACACCTCCAAAGCCTCTCAGCTCTGAGGGGTGTAGCTCCACTGCCACTAAAACCCAGCAGCCCCCTCCCAAACATCTTCACCACCAAACCCTGGCTGCTGAGGAGCTGCTTCAGAGGGCCAGGCAGATGGGACTTTGCTACTGGGGCAAGGAGGTCACAGCTCCCCCACCTTGCACACAGCTGCTTAAGATGGAGCGCTCACACCCTACTGAGCCCCTCTTCTCCCCCCACTCAATTCATGGTTGGGCCCTGTGATGAGGTTTGCTTCTGGGCTGCCCCATGCCCTAACCCAAGTTTTTACCATAAGCAAACACATGCTTAGAATGTATGAGGTAAAAATAACTTTCCTCGCTAGGTTTATCACTCCAAATGGGTTTCCTTGCTTTTGGACTTTGCAAGTTTGTTTCCCGTCTGCATTTGTGCAGTCCATTCAAGAACAGGGTTTGCAGTGGACTGGCATACTGGGAGACCAAAGAAAGTCATGAAGACATTTGTTAATTGGGTTATTGGTCCACATCCTAGGTTCTAGTTCTTCTTGCTTGGTAATAGAAAGGAAAATTTGTTTTGAAGCCAAGTAGGACCAGCTTTTTCATCCTCGTAGTATATCTCCATTGAGAATTAAGTGGGTCAAGACAGGCGAGAACACTTCCCACACACCTGATTTTGATGAAGGTGAAATATAATTATAAAACAGTATCATAACACACTGGGATCATTAACCATCAAAAAAGTTATTTATTGGTCACAGTTTAAGTATGGGCATTACTTTCACTTGGCTGCTGTAGGCAGATGCTTAATAGCTTTGGGAAGCTGAAAGGTTTGGAAAGGTATGGACAGAAGGCTCCTATTTATGGAAAGCAATCTCTGTGTTAATCATCTCGCTGACAGAGTAATTACAGACATTTAAAAAACGTAAATCAAAGCTTGAACTTGCAGGGATGCAGCAACACAAAGAAGCTGCTGTTAGTCACAATTCATCAAACCTCTGCATTCCAGTGGTTTCTGCACCCAAGCAATCGTTGCATGGAAGCAAACAACTTGTAAGCACTGACAGGTAACAGACAGGAGATCTTGCATAAAACTCAAAGCATTATTTCAGCAAGTTAGGTTCTTCCGCCCTGCCCTGGAGCTGCTGCAGCAGTGCAAGTGGACTCAATGTTGTTGTCCACACTATGAAACTGGCTTTTAGCTACTGAAATCCAGACTTAACATTTCTGTTTCTGCACATTGCTTACACAAACCCAAGCCTTTTGGGCTTACGTGACCAAAATGTTTACTTCCTACATTCCTCTTCATCCACCCAGAAAGGAAAGGGTTAGCGCTGTATGTGATGGTGAGTGCTCATGCCCTGGATATATTCTGGACCAATACAAGTTATAGCAAGGTCTGCCTTTTCAGAAAAGCACCATTAAACAACTTGGTTGAAATGTCAGACACATCAAGACCAATTTATCACAATGAACTGCAAATGCCAAGGATGGACAACAATGGTTTATTTATAAGGAGACAAGAGCAAAGAAGACAAGAAGGTTCCATTTACTCACTACCGCCAATGGCACATTCTTCTTTTTCTTTACAGGAGGCTACAAAGTCTTTCAGAGAACCATAGAGCCTAACTGGCGCCCCACTGTTTGCTTCCTCTTGTGCCACTGCTGTGCTTTTCAGGCTCTGGACAACATGTATATTCAAGAAAGCCCAAGAAAACAGAATTGATTTACTTTCAGAAGACCATTTGTCAGGTTCTCACCAAACAGGTACTCTAAGAGCATACACAAAACGTAATTAAGCAGCTTCTACTGGTGGGAAACCCACAAGACTTTTCACCAGCAGACTGAAAAGAACAACCATTGTAGAAATACATCATCTTACAGGTCTGAACAGTTTCTCTGTATCTGCTGAAATAACTCACCATCCTCTACAGACTGCCCCCTGTGTTTTTC